CTGCACCTGCACTCCGAGGGGTTGAGCGCGACCTTGACTGCGAAATTCACCCTCCCGAGCCCTTCGTAGCGCAACAGGTTGGGTGGCCAAAGTAGAGCGTGCAAAACCATTCCTCCTGTAACCTGAGAACGATCCGTAAGGGGCGCGCCCAGGTGAAATTAAGAAAATTAAGGCAAATACCGTTAAATTTGAGTTTGTTATACAGAGGAAAACTTTAAGTGGCCCAGAAACTGGAATCTTGGGTCTCAAGATGAAGGGGAAATAGCAAAAGGTAATACAACCACCGTGTATCAGAGGGAAGAGAAATGTGTGCGGACTGGAGGGAGTGACAAAGGAAAATCGTTACTCCTTTCCCGGTTCACGCAAGGGCCGCACACCAAGGCCGACAACGCTCCCTAGGCACGGGATTCCGCCCCGCGCTCAGGTGGAGAGAAGCGAGCTCTCCCGTTCCGCAGTAACGCAACGTGGAGCTGGGATCCGAGTCGGGTGGGCAGCGAGGACCAGGGACCGACCGAGGCGCGAGGGGAGCAGCTCTTCTGCCACCCTAGAGGGGCACCAACTGTCAGTGCCAAGTTCCTGCTGCTCCCAGAGTTGTGTCTGGCACCAAGAGGAAGCGGGGTCAAGCAGAGGATGCGATCCCGTTATCCAAGATGAACCTTCAGTTGGGAGCCCACGTTTTGGAAGCAGGGAAGGACAGAGTGGTCTGGAGGCCGGTCCTCAGTTTGTATGGGACAGGGGTCCGGAAGACGATGATCCCCAGCGCGGGTTCTTCTCGGTTTTTGCCACCGATACCCAAAACCACTTTTCCCTGGACAGCTATGCTGCCACAAGATCCCAGTTCCACAGGGATGAAGAAGATTTCCAAGGAGCTAAAACTTTGTGTAGACCTGTCTCTTCTTTGGCATTTAAAGTAGACGGGAATGCTTGGCCCCAGCGGAGCAGGCAGTGGGACAGCACAGAGGCTGCGCTCCACGCCAAGAAGTCATAACTCCTGAGCTCCAAGACCTCAAGCACAGGATTAAGTCCTGGAGGTGGCATATTTGCTAGGAATTTGCCTTCCTCCTGAACCAGGAAAACTGACACTGCAGGAGAGATGTAGTTTGGTGGTGCCAGTGCAAGGTGGCACAACCCTCCAAACGTAAGAGGAGTAAAAGCAGGCCCGAGAAGAGAAGAATTCGAGTTTACCTCGAGGCCGCCTGCGTACTTGGAGGGTGGGAGGGAAGAGTTCAAGTAAACGTAACAGGACTTCAGCAGTAGCACAGAAGGGATAAAAAGGGGAAAACTATGGATTTAAAAGGTCAGCAACACAATTTATTCTTTAAGTTCCCCAGTGTGAAAGATGCTGCCTCAGTTTAGAAGAGCAGAGGGTCCTACAACTGCTTCATCGGTCAGCGGCCATCAAATGAAAACGCCAGGAGCGAGTGTGCCCCAAAGGCACCACCGAGGCTGAAAGTATCCAGTTCAAGCGGCTGTGACGTAGAAACTTCCCGTGTGGAGACGTAGAAAGGCAAAAACGTCACCAGAGACGGCGCAGGCTGTTAGTTCCCACAGCTGGAGTGACAGCCTTGGGAATGACCTTAGACACGTTTTTCACAAACTCGTAAGAGAACAAATCCCGCCGAGACGCGACCTGCTGTTGAAGATCACCTACGGGTACCTGGACACGTACACCCATGTGTAGGCACACACATACCCATATATATGCTTCTCGTCACCCGGGAGTTTTCCTGCTTCCCGGAAAAGGTCAGCACCCTCGTGCTTCGGCTGCAACACAAACATACCAAGAGCACCTCCATCGCAACCAGCCATTCCTCCTTCTCCCTGTACACGCACAGCTCGGTCACACCCCTGGTAAACAATCACCTAAGAAACACGTGCGTGGGTGCAGTCCAGGGCGACTGAGAAGAGCTCTCTTGGCACTGCGAGTTGGTACGGTCACGATCCCGCTCAACAATTGAGAAGACTAAAAGGAGTAACCAAAATCTGAACCAAAGGCTTTACAAAGATTCGGTCTGCTGGCCCAACAAATCGGCCTGAGTGAATCATAACAGTTTAAGACTCATTCAGAAACATTTGGTGGCTGTGGAGAAGCGCAGTAGAATTCTCAGCGAGAGCTGTAACGGCCACATGCAGGGAGAGAAAGCGTCACTGTTAAGGGAGTCACAGTTGCGTGCAGGGAACGTACCGTTCTGAACGGCAGCGGCGGCGCAGGCACAGCAAATGGGGAGATGAAAACCTTCAGTGGGGGGCGACTTACAACATTGCTGAAACATAAATCAGCTCGGGCCGGACGGCATTTCTGCAGGCCACCTAGCACCAACGCCCTGCTCCAAGCGGGGCTGGCTGCAGAGCCAGCGTGGCTTACTCGGCCTTACCCTGCCGCGCTCTTAAAGTCTCGGTACAAGCGGACCCTTCGATGACTGGAAAACACTATCATATTGCCCTTTCCCAGGAAATTAATTACCTAATGGAAATTTTGGAGCTTCTTCAGCGCCATCAGCTCCCTCTGTGGATTCTGTAACTTTCACAGCTTCTCTCGAGTCTCCCGGAGAACTGTAGGTCACATCTGCTGGTTTCAGTTTATCACGTGCCTTAAATGAAAAAAAACCAAAGGGTTACATTTCCTGGCACAGTACTTCAGGCATCAAACTGTCAACACAAAGACAGGTCCCCGAAGAACTTTCAGTCAGTCAGACTCGTGGTGTTTACACTACACGCTGCATTGTCCACGCAAACAAAAGCAAACTACTTGATTAGTTTTACCAGCAGGAAGGTTCCCCCTGGCTTCTAGTCGTAAGCCGGCATTTTTCATTTTAGTTCCAAACCCGTTCCCTGATGGACAATCGGAATTTAGAGTAGGAGGTGAATTGGTATCTTGTTTCCCAGCTACAAGCAGATAATGTAGGGTTGGGGTTTTTGTCTTCTGTGCTTTGCCTGTGACTTGCAAAGTCAGACCTCTGTCCACCAGAAAAATACAGTACAAAAGTAAAAGAACCGGAACAGACACCCACGTTACCACAAAGCTGCCATCAGCTGAGTGGAAACCAGAGATGTGGATAATCTCTGACACTACTGTTTCACTTCAACACTTCTCTGGGAAATCGTGACCGCAGAGTCAGACTGGAAACAGCGTCAACCTGAGGGCCACGAAGGCCTGAGGGCTGGAGTCTCTCTCCTGTGGGGACAGGCTGGGAGAGTTGGGCTTGTTCAGCCTGGAGAAGAGAAGGCTCCAGGGAGACCTTACTGCAGCCTTCCAGTACCTGAAGGGGCTACAAGGAAGCTGGGGGGGACTTTTTACAAGGGCCTGTAGTGACAGGACAAGGGGGAACTGGTTTAAATTGAAAGTGGGGAGGGTTAGATTGGGTATCAGGAAGAAATTCTTCCTGGAGAGGGTGGGGAGGCACTGGGAGAGGTTGCCCAGAGAAGCTGTGGATGTGGAAGTGTCCAAGACCAGGCTGGATGAGGCTTGGAGCAACCTGGTCTAGTGGAAGGTGTCCCTGCCCATGGCAGGGGTGGGACTGGATGGGCTTTAAGGTCCCTTCCAACCCAAACCAGTCTGTGATTCTATGAACCTCTGCAGCAGCCACAGTTTACTGTCAGGTCAGGCTGAAGAAACAGGGCTTTCTCTTTTCAAATTCAGGCTGCTCAATTTCCAGCTAATTGTATGTGTCTTCCCACTGCAGTCGGCTTCGACTCGTTTCTCAGTTGCTGAGCGACTGGCATTTTAGCCAGTCCCCATTTACACTGAGGTACCTTCCTACGTGGTTTATTCTAACAGAGGCCAAGTGATGGTCTAACCTGGAGAGGATTTCTGGTTCCTGGTGATTAGGTTCTGGCAGCACTGTGCAGAATTCACTAATAACCACACTGTCTATGAAGTGATCCTTAAAATTCCTGAAGGATTATGAATGCTGTAAGCTCTAAGCAGCTTACACTTTGAAGTCTCTTTGATCTTGACAATATCAGTAATTCAGATGTTCTGTGGATCCGAAAGGTTGACATCCATTACCAGGATTTTAGAATTCAGGTACGGAGGAGGGAATACGCTTATCGTACGAGCTCCACCAAATGGCTGATGGCTAACGGCATCGTGTCCAGCACCGGTGTCCATGATGCCATCCCGAAAAACGTAAACAAGAGAGTAGACCTCTCAAAGAGAAGCGTCAGTAAGGCCTTCCCGACAGGTTTGTGTGCCTGGGATGGTGCATGCTGCCTTAACGTACAGCATACACCCAGGACAGGAATGTCAGAGTATTTCTTAATCACAGACTGGTTTGGGTTGGAAGGGACCTTAAAGACCACCCAGTTCCACTCCCCCTGCCGTGGGCAGGGGCACCGTAATCATCAGCCTAACTTGTCTAGAAAGGTGAGATACTCACTTCCTCAGTCCTCTTTCTTTCTTGCTCCATTTCATATTCTTCCTTGGATTTTCTGCAACACAAAATACAAGTAAACACTCCACACTCCTTCAGGGGTGGTGACTGCTAGGTAAACTCAGCACTGCTTAAATATTTGAGGGCTACCAAAACAGTTGTAAGTAGCCAAAATCCTTCCATAACTTAAATGAAAGTGCACTCTTCATAGAAATAAACGGGCACGATAAACGCACAGAACCCAACCTCCTCAGCTTACCTTTCCCTGTGCAAAGGTAATGGTGTAAGAATTTCCAGGGCTTATCTATCCCTCGTTTCATTTCCTTGTTTAAAGACAGGAGGGGCAGTATTTCCAGAATACAGAGGGAAAAAATTAACATAACGTGAATGGATTGATACGGTATTACTTGTTTAAGGTCATCAACTGGGAGCAGAGGAGAATCTGTAGAAGTTGTGTCAGTCACAACTTCGGTGAGATTTTGACAAGAACACTCCTATCATCTGGAAGATGAAAACGGGTTCCTGGAAAAGGCTGGAAGAGTTAGGTCCTCCATACCTTCATTTTTTATGTTACAACAGTGTACCAAGTAGGACTGTTTCATTTGTTTTACCTCAGAACCTCCCTCAGTATTTTCATTTCTTCTTCTTCAATTTCGCTGAATACATCCGAGCCCTCTGTCAAGCAGTCGGGCAACACACCTATGGCAAACACAGGGCAAAACGCAGGTGCTAAGGAATTACTCTGTACTCCATTTGGCATCGTTCCTCAGGCAGAGGAGAAAGGAAAATAGAATTAAAAAACCCAAACACCTAATTCCGTCTAACTGTTCCATAAAGGATCCCAGATCCTGGGCATCGAGTTGCGAGTAGGAGTAAGGCAAAGGTTTCTGACCTGTGAGAGTTTTGACATCTAAGGGTAAAGCGTAAGCCATACTCTGCACTGACCACTACACGGCATCTCCTACAGCCTGCAGTTCAGCCATGGCCAGCCAAACCGTTTTCACGTGACAGCTGACATTTAAAAATTGGCCTCTGCGAACACACAGAGCCATCGAAAGAACACCACGACGACGAAGGAAGCGACACCCCGCATTTACCGCTCCTTACCATTCCTTTCTTTAATGATTCTGATAGCTTGCAACTGCATTTCGATATTTTTCTGTACCATCATTTTTTTAAACAGTCTAAAATCTTCCGCTGCCAGCACTGTTTGCAAAATGGCCTGTGGGAGGGAAGAGATGCACCACATTAAAAACCCCAGAGAAATCACACCCATCTCAGTCTGCCTGAAACTGAGGCAAGTTCTGCGAGCACGTTTTCAATAACTGTATTTAATTCCCCCATCTGTCTGTTTTTCCAGCCGTATAAGTTGAGCTAATAGCCAACAAAATAATTTGATGGTTTACATCTTTAGATCAACGTGCCTTTAGATCAACATTATAGCAAACACCGGAGGTTTCCCAGCGGAAATTCACAACTGCAAATCATTACACTTCCTGAAGAGATGCGTAAGCTTGAGTGAGGAACGTGGCTCCGAGGACGCTTGTTAGGCGTCTAGGAGGGGATACAGCATCACAGCCCCACCTGAACCAACAGCAGAGGCTCCCTCCCCTCCGCCCGATATACCCGAGATAATTCCGAGAGGTATCTTGGAGCTGCCGGTATTAATGAAAGCATAAAGCTAAAACCAAAATCCTGTATTTCTGCACAGCAAAATTTACCTGTGAAGTGTGTGTCTTTGCAAGAGGAGATGAAAAAGCTTCTTGAAACTTCTCTTCATTAATTCCAACCTCTTTAAGATAGTCTTCTAATAATTTTTCAACCTGTAAGAAAGTATAAGCCTTACCTTCTAGGAGGTTTTACCCAAGAATCATGACCTTTTTTTTTCAAAACTGTATATTCTTCTCTGCTGACACCGTATTTTTTCAACTCAAAGGAAAATCATTGCAATAGTATCAGTGATTTTTCTGATACATCAGGCTTTATTGAACTGTTCAAAATAAGCACTTTGATTGCTAAATTTGATTACTTCATTTAGCTCCTCCAATTTCCAAGAACCTCGCTTCCCTTCTTTTTCCCCAGGCACCTGGCTAGCATTCCTTGTTATTTTTTTGCCCTGTAGGTAAAAGGGTTTTTTGCCAGTGCCTGAAGCACTTCAGGGTCGGAGCAAAAATGGATGTGGGTCTGTACTTATTCAACTGATGCTTTTCAACATCCAGTATTACCAAGCCTCATATATATATATTTCTTGGAAATCTACCACAAAGAGTGAATAATGCTCACCAGAGCTTGGTACTCCTGATAAATTTCTGTATAAGACAACTTGCTTTCTTCTTCATCATCAAAAACTGGGGGGAAAAAAACCAAAACAAAACACAACACACATTTTGGAGTTAGCGAACGCACCACAACTTAACTTATGCCTTAAAGATTAACCTTTACAAGGTAATATATTTAATCACATGGAAGTATAGGCCATGGTTGATGATGATAATGTATTTTTCCACATTCAGGCTAAGCATGTGCTTTCGGTAATTTAATGTAACTAAATTTCACAATTTAATACCAGGAAATTCTATCTTTGTAATAGAAGCAGATTTCAAAGCTGCAGCTAAGTTATGTTTTAATTGTTTCTATCCTAATTTAGACAAAACAGGCATCTGTATAGCACAGGCCACATTAATCATGCTCATTTAAGTTCATATTAACTCTTGACTGGTATTTCCTTTTGACTGGAAATACCAAGCTAACGATCTCTACGCTGCAGGATAGATGGAAGAAGCAGAAAAATAAGATGAACTGAAAACTAGGGTTTGGGTTTTTTCAGTTTACGGTTTTCACATGTCAACAACGAGCAGAGGTAATGTAAAACCTAGCAATTAAAGCAGAGGCTTAGAAATAAGACTTCCTCAATCCCCTTCAAGATTAGCCACTACATGTTGGACAAGTCACTTCCCACGTGCATGCTTTGAAGTCATCCGAATGGGAATTCTGCTCAAATCGGTGAAGGAGTGTGATTTATTCTTCACACATATAAGACATCTCTGACGGAAGATGCTACTGCCGCGCACAGGATCAGCGTAACCTTCGCGCTGACTGAGAGTGACTTTTAGAAAGCCTCACTTCCCAGCTGTGACAGCCCTGAGGCCACGTCCCTCTGAAGCGTGACAAGGTGCCACGCAAGACATATGTCTTATATGTCCTCATATGTCTTATGAGGAGCGACTGAGGGAACTGGGCTTGTTTAGCCTGGAGAAGAGGAAGCTGAGAGGAGACCTGATCACTGCCTACAACTCCCTGAAAGGAGGTTGTGGAGAAGTGGGTGTTGGTCTCTTCTCCCTAATGACAGATGATCGGACAAGGGGGAATGGACTCAAGCTGCGCCAGAGGAGGTTTAGATTGGATGTAAGGAAGAAGTTCTTCACCGAAAGGGTTATCACGCACTGGAACAGGCTGCCCAGGGAGGTGGTGGAGTCACCATCCCTGGATGTGTTTAAGAGACGGGTGGATGAGGTGCTGAGAGATATGGTTTAGTGGTGGACAGATACGGTTGGACTGGATGATCTCTAAGGTCTTTTCCAACCCAGCGATTCTATGATTCCATGATTCTAAGACGGCTGGTCCTAAACCACAAAGCACTTGCATCACTTTCTAACAAGTTAGGGCAATGCGATGATAGAAATCTCATTGCATGGTTCAGGCCCTCTGGGTGAGCAAGGGAAATTTGCTTTTTAAGCGATGGAACCTGGAAAACCATTTGCTTTTGTCTCATTTTTGCACAAGGGAATTTTTTTTAATGAAGGGATGTTAAAAAAGAAAAGCTTTAAAAATATCTATGAATAAATTCAAATGGTAGAAAAAGTACTATAACTCTTACTCTAGAAATTCTGCAGCTGCTGTGGCGACAACTGTATTACCAAACCCAAGAGGGTAACTGCCTCTATTGTCTTCTGCATGTCCTCCCCTCTGGGGATCCCCCTTACAGCCCCCAACCTTTGTCTTAGCTCCTCTGTTGCCTTCTCCCCCCTGCCGTTCCTTCCCACCCAGGGCACAGTGACACAGGGATGCCACTCCTCAGCCTCTGCGATGCCAATGCAACCCTCACACTGCCGAAGGGATGCTCCCAAGCCTGCCTCCTCCCGCAGCTGCGGGACAACGTGGAAAGGTGAGTGGAAAGCCTGCACAAACTGCTCCCTGTTCGCAGGCTCTGGACAAAAAGAGGATGAAGTGCCAAGTAAAGCAAGCTGCGGTCAGCATCTCCTCCGAGTTAAGTGGCATTAAGGAGTAATGAATGAAGACCTTGAATTTTCTTGAGTCAGGGCTCCTAAATCACATAGTCACTATTCTCCCTAAGGGTCTGGCACGGAGTCGTTGGTTGCTGAGAGGAACAAAGATCTGAAGAATAACTGTACCAAGATAAGGCAGGGGACCCAGATATCCTGGGAGACAAACTCATCATTTCCCTGTTAAAACTGAAAGTCTTTCTAGGACCCCTCAGATGGGAGAGAGAGAAAGCAAACAATTATCAGCAGATAGAAAACCATTAGGATCATTGACAAGTTGAACTGCCACGACATGGCTTAAGGAACTACAGTTCCAAAATAAACGCCTTACAAACCAGTTACCAAACTCAAATTCTGGTTTTGAGGGATCACAGATTATCGTCAGTTAATCAAAATGTTGCTAATTTCCTTGTTAAGCCCAAAGACTAAACGTTTTGAGAACGAAAAGAATTCTGTCCTGATGAAATATGCTATTAAGAAACCAGGGGTGGAATCAGCACGGTAGGTCTATAGCAAGGAAAAGCAAATAGCACAGGTATCTGCGACTAAAACTCCTGATTCCTTTACCCGTGCTGCTCAGCAACGCCAGCATTGCAGTCACACTGCTTTAGCCTTCTCCTTTCTCTCAGCAGCTTGTCCAACAGCACTCGGTAGCACAAACGATGCCCTGGAAGATCATTTACCGCAAGGGATTTCTCTACTTTCTTCCTCCAGTTTCTCACGCAGAACACCCAGCAGGACGCGACCGTTACATAAGCCTACGTGGGAATTTACAAATCTTCTTACTGCCAGCCAATTCCCCTCGACCTTCTAAAGAGTGACCATTGCTCCGGAGAGGGATAATCAATTCCCCGATTCCTAAACCTAGACCCTTTGCATGGTAATCAAAATGCTGGACCAACCTCGAGTTCAGGTAGACTTTTCCAAGGAAAACGGTTAGCCTAGATTTCTCTGCCACCTCCCAGCTGAAGGGAGCGTAGCAGCTTCACCTCTCTCATTTCCCACTGCAGTAGGAAAAGGCGTACGTACTCACGACGATCCCGCCTCACGCAAAGCTTGGGAAGGGTAGAAACAATTCCGCGAAGCAAGTCGTTTAGAAGCTGTGATGGGAATCAGAGGGGCGTCCGTTTCACTGAACACGAAACAAAAACTCTTAATGGGCCCTAACAAGAATGACAGCACAACAGGCACGGGCGGCCCTGCTGAGGCCAACCACGACGGGAGCTGATCTGGAGCCCGCAGCAGCAGGCGGGGGAGGAAGGAGTAAGCACAAGCAGGTAGGATACTCTTAGTAAGAGCCATTCTACGGTGAGCTTGATGTTAGTAAGTCCCTAGAAATAAAATGTATTTGGAAGCCTTAGTTTCACGACTTCAGTATTTTCAAGTTAAAATGATGAATGAATCCTCCGTCCTGTCAGGTGATATTAAAGGAACGGATTTTACTCACAGCAGCCATAGAACGTTATCCTACACTAGTTTACGGCAACATGCTTTGATACTTGCCCCCTGCGTACGTCCGCAGGCCGGGTAGATCACCAGCCGTCCCGTTCCCAAACACACCCTTCTCCCCAACACCCAGGAATCACAAAAGCAAGCTTCCTTTAGAAAAAAAGGGCTTAGGCAACGCTTTCAGACCTGCCCAAGTTGTAATCATTCTGCTGCCGTAAGGAGCCGCGTGTTCTTTGGTGGCAGAAAACTTGCTTCCCAAGCAGCAGAACGAATTCCGCCACATCTCCACTACACAAAGTCCCTTTCGGGGCTACACACGTACAGCGATACCGCCGCAGCCCCCCACTGCCAGCCTACCCTGCCATTCCCCATCCCACGATACGATTCCCTCCGCTCCTTCTCAAGGAAGAGGAGGAAGTTTAACTTCCAAGCACCTACAAGAAAAAGCCGTAACCGGTAACGGCTGACTTCTTTACCATTTCTGGGAGGTACTACCGCACGGTTTCTCATCTCGTAACTGCCAATGTCCGCAGGATCGTGGGAATCGAGCTCTGGGCCTTCTCCTCTTACCACTGGCCAGACAGTGATTTGACTGTGCCGTCCGGCTTCCTCAGGGCAGACCTCCAGCTGCAGAAAAGCGTCCGGGGCCCCCACCTGCTCTCTGGTCGCGGCAGCAGGAGAACTCGTTTCGGTGTCACACCGTAAGCTCATGCCATAATCCCCTGAGCGAGCTAATGAGCGCCGAGAGCCGCATCCCGGGGGAGACCGGCCCCGGGACCGGTGGGAAAGCGCGGGGCCGAAGCCTTCGGAGCCTCCGGCGGGAGCGCCCTGC